AGTGTAAGCTCTCTCCAGTTTCTTTTTGGGGGCACTTAGAGCTAAGTTTTCCTCTTAGCACTATTTTCATTGTGTTCCATAAGTTTTGATATGATGTGTCTTCATTTCATTAAATTCTAAAAAGTCTTTAACTTCTTTGTTTATTTCTTCCTTTACCAAGTTATCATTGAGTAGAGCATTATTCAGTTTCCACGTATATGTGGGTTTTCCATTGTTTTCTATTGTATTGAAGACCAGCCTTAGCCTGTGGTGATCTGATAGGATGCATGGGCTTCTTTCAATCTTCTTGAATCTGTTGAGGCCTGTTTTGTGACCAATTATATGGTCTATTTTGGAGAAGGTACCATGAGGTGCTGAGAAGAAGGTATATTCTTTTGTTTTAGGGTGAAATGTTCTTTGGATATCTGTTAAATTCCTTTGTCTCTGAAGAAAGAAATTGAAGATCTCAGAAGATGAAAAGATCTCCAATGCTCATGGATTGGCAGGATTAATATTGTAAAAATGTCTATCTTGCTGAAAGCAATCTACAGGTTCATTGCAATCGCCATCAAAATTCTAACTGAATTCTTCACAGAGATAGAAAGAGCAATTTGCAAATTCATTTGAAATAACAAAAAAACCCAGGATAGTAAAAACTATTCTCAACAATAAAAGAACTTCTGGGGGAATCACCATCCCTGACCTCAAGCTGTACTACAGAGCAATAGTGATAAAAAACTGCATGGTATTGGTACAGAGACAGGCAGGAAGATCAATGGAATAGAATTGAAGCCTCAGAAACGAACCCACACACGTATGGTCACAAAGGAGTTAAAACCATCCAGTGGAAAATCGACAGCATTTTCAACAAATGATGCTGGTTCAACTGGAGGTCAGCATGTAGAAGAATGAAAATCAATCCATTCTTATCTCCTTGCACAAAGCTCAAGTCCAAGTGGATAAAGGACCTTCACATAAAACCAGATACACTGAAACTAATAGAAGAGAAGGTGGGGAAGAGCCTTGAATGCTTGGGCACAGGGGAAAAATTCCTGAGCAATGGCTTATGCTCTAAGATCAATAAGTGACAAATGGGACCTCATAACATTGCAAAGCTTCTGTAAGGCAAAGGACACTGTCACCAGGACAAAATTGCAACCAACAGATTGGGAAAAGATCCTTACCAATCCTACATCTGATAGAGGGCTAATATCTAATATATACAAAGAACTCAAGAAATTAGACTCCAGACAATCAAATAATCCTATTAAAAAATGGGGTACAGAGCTAAGCAAAGAAGTCTCAACTGAGGAAACTTGAATGGCTAAGAAGCACCTAAAGAAATGTTCAACATCCTTAGTCATCAGGGAATGAAAATAAAGACATCTCTGAGATTCCACTTCATGCCAGTCAGAATCATTAAGATCAAAATCTCAGGTGATAGCAGATGCTGGAGAGGATGTGGAGAAAGAGGACTACTCCATTGTTGGTGGGATTGCAAGCTGGTACACCTACTCTGGAAATCAGTCTGGAGGTTCTTCAGAAAATTGGACCTGAGGACCCAGCTATACCACTCCTGGGCATATACCCAAAAGATGTTCCAGTATAACAAGGACGCATGCCTCACTATGTTCATAGCAGCCTTATTTATAGGAGAGGAGGTCCTTGGTCCTGTGAGGGCTGGATGCCCCAGTGTGGGGTCATTGGAGGGCAGGAAGGTTGGGGGTGGATCAGTGGGTAGATACCCTTATAGAATCAGGAGGAGGGGGGACGGAATAGGGGGTTTCTGAGAGGGGGAATGGGGAAAGGGGGATAATACCTGAAATGTAAATAAAGAAAATATCCAATAAAAATGTACGCTTGTTGCTCTAGCAGAGGTGAATGCTACAGGGGTAAGGCAGGAGTGGGTGGGAAGGGGAGCACCCTCCTAGAGCCAAAGGGGAGGGGGTTTGGGATGGGGGACTAGTTGAGTGGAGACCAGGAAGGGGGCAACATTTGGAATGTAAATAAATGAAATAATTTTTTAAAAGAAGATAGAACGTTATTGTATCCTTTTTTTCCTTGTCCTAGTGTGCTACAGAGTTACTTTACAGTAATTGATGGTCATTAATGAATATTAGATTAACATGTTGGTTTAGCAACAGGGAGGACACAGTGATCCAGAAAGTTGGGGCATTAAGGAAGAAAACTGTTAAACCACAGCAAAGAAAGAGAATACAGGCAGTGTCCTAACCTGCAAAACAAGAAGGGGAACTGATTATAAATAGATTATTGGATTTTGCAATTATAAATCACGAGTAAATTCCATAAAGTAGCAAATGTAGACATCATATGGCAATGAATTCTAAAATACAGAGTTCTTCCTCTTAATTATGAAACTTGAGCTGATATTTTTATGGAAGCTGGCTGGCAGACAAAATATAGCTGTATCATTTATATAAAGATCTAGAATCATGAATACATTATATTAATTTAGAGAGTCTTTATATCTCTTTTGTCAGTGGATAGCCAGTGGTAAAATTGATTTTTTTCTAAAGAAATCTGGAGACTTAAAAGAATATTGCAGCAGCAATGTTATCACAGCAGCCATCAACAACACTGGCATGTTAGACTCAGCATGGCAGATACCATGTTTTTCATAATTGTTTTGATTATTGATTCTTCAGAAATAAAACATCAATGCCATCTCAGCATGATGTCCCAGACTTGACAAAGCATGGTAATGAAGCATCATAGTTTATGTCTCCAAAATTGTTTGCTACTAATATAACTAATGTTTTTTTTTTTTCAGTAAGTTTTAGCAATATCAAAACTTTTTCTCCCCTGTCTTTATTTGGGTCAATGATCATACACAAAGTTGTCTTAAAAATAATTTAAGCAGAGATAGGGGTAGCAAAAGGAAGAAGGAATGAGTGCATAAGAATTCCAAGTTACTCAGCATTACCGTTATATGTGGAAGAAGCCTTAGTAAGCCATAATTCTTAGCAATTTATTATGAATTAGTGATCTTTATGGAAATATGTATTTTCTTACCTTACAGTTGAAGGCACATTTTCTGATTGATTTTTCTTTATCACAGATGTGTTTTGCATGACCACCATGACATCTTAGTGGTTTTTTCAGGACTAAACAGCCTTTCATTCTTGCCATATTACTTGTTTTCCCCATTTATTATTTGTCCTGCATTTGTATTGAAATATTTTGAATTTTGTAAACTAGATACTGATGTTTATCACCAGGTCTACATAATTTGATTTTATGAGCATATATATTTTATTATAATTCATATTTAATCTCTTAATTTTATTTAAATATGTATTGTATAAACACAAAAATCAAACTTGTTGTACTTATGTTTATATAGAATGAAGATATTTTAGATTAGCAATCTTGGCAGATTTCCTAATAAAGTATAATAGTTCAACAAAGGTCGAATATCAGTTACTAGTTCCTCAGGTCTGCTTCTTGACATTTGATGTTCTAAGAAATTAGATGTTTTTATGATATTCTTAGTGTTGTTTGTTTAGCTTTTTGTGGTACTGGGAGTTGAACACAGGGCCTTGTAAATGTTAGGCCAACACTGTCATTCTGAACCATTCCCTCTGCTGAGAAATAAGATATAGACGTTAATAACTAAGTGATAGGACTTAGAGTTTCATATAGCTAGAACTGAGTTTGTGATCACAGTAAGATCCCAGTAGATATTTTTTGACTGTTGGCATACCTTTGATCAACTAGGAAATGACTGGGTTTATAGCTTATAAGATCATAGGAGGTCATAGTTAAAAATGAAAAATACTCACGGGAGCAAATACAGAGACAAAGTATGGAGCAGAGACCGAAGGAAAGGCCACCTAGAGACTGCCCCACCTGGGGATCCATTCCACATGCAGTCACCAGACAGACACTATTGTGGATGCCAAAAAGTGCTTGCTGACAGGAGCCTGATATGGCTGTCTCCTGAGAGGCGCAGCCAGAGCCTGACCAATACAGAGGCGGATGCTCACAGCCAACCATTTGACTGAGTGTGGGGAGGAGTTAGAGAACTGAAGGAACTGAAGGGGATTGCAACCCAATAGGAAGAACAACAATATCAACCAACAAGACCCCCACCCCAGAGCTCCCAGGGGCTAAACCACCAACCAAAGAGTACACATGGAGGGAACCATAGCTCTAGATCCATTTGTAGCAGAGGATGGACTTGTTGGGCATCAGTGGGAGAAGAAGCCCTTGGTCCTGTGAAGGTTCAATGCCCCAGTGTAGGGGGATTCAAGGGTGGGGAGGCCACCCTCATAGAAGCAGGGGAAAGGGAGATGGGATAAGGGGCTTGAGGAGGGCCAGGAAAGGGGATAACATTGGAAATGTAAATAAAGAAAATATCCAGTTTAAAAAAAAATAATTATGCTTTTCAAACCATTTCAGGAGTGATGGAGGCCTCTTAGTCCAGTTTAGCAGTGTTAAACATTAAAGCTTTAAAATCTTGAAAATATGTATTACTGTAAATGTTATTTCAAACTTTGAAAGTATTTCTAGAAATATGAGAAATAGCAAGTTAGGCTATGACTAGCTTACATGAATGAGTTTGAGTAAGTCCGTATTTTTCCTTGAAATGAAATATAACTTAAACAATTAAATAAAAACACCATATCCCTGCTTGTATTCATTTATTTTGATAATGTCAATATTTATTCCTTGTAAGAGTGGAACAGCAGTATACTTAGAAGGAAATGCAATCTAATGATGCATACTTTTTCCTCTGGTACCTGAAGGTTAAATGGGTAGCAAGCAGAATGCCTTAAACAAGATTGGTATATTGATTAAAACGCTGATTTAACAGCTCGCAGTTTCCCCTTGGAAACCTGCAAAAGATAAGCCAGCTGCTGTCTTAGAGTGCTCAGTGTCCACTGAGAGTACACTATCTATCATCACAATATGGTGATGAGAGGTGTTTTATGTTTGTGTTAATTTCCCCCACTAAATCAGTAATTATTACAATCCTGTCCCTGCTGTTTACCCTGCAGCTGTTTTTCCATTTGTCGAGAGAGCGGGTGTTCTCTGAGGACCGCACACGTTTCTATGGTGCAGAAATTGTCTCTGCTTTGGACTATCTACATTCTGGAAAGATTGTGTACCGTGATCTCAAGGTAAAAAAAAGTAATGAAAATTGGTTTTTTGCAGAGGCTGTAGGGACAAACAAAGTAATTACAAAGTTACAGTTTTGAGACAAGCACTTATCGTAGGAGTGTTGTTTGCTGTACTTGGTCTGAAATTTCACTGATATGTAAGTGGCTTTTTTATGATTTTGGCTTTTCTATATAAAAATTCTCTTGACTATGCAACACATATCTAGCAAGAGTTGTTTAATTTTTCTGTAAATCCCCTAATTATAGAAATGGTAAGCATCTGAGTCAAATCAGATAATTTGCAAGTTCATTATTATTTTCAGACATCACAAAATGTTTATGAAGAAGCTTCAATAAGAAGATTATTGGAAGGAAAATAGCTATTTTCATTGTAGTGTTAACTTTTTGATAGGATCATTTTTCTCACATTTTCCTATAAACTCAGTAGTTTGCTTAGTTTTTCATTTGTCAAAACCCAGTGTTGGTTGTGTTGGTAAAAGAAGCCTGGCCATCTCTGAGCTCTTGTCAGTAGCCCTTAGTAGAGTCAGAATAGCCTGAAAGGCCAGATGATAAATACTTCGGCCTATTCTGCCTGTCAAGGTATTTATTGGAACCATTCTGCTCTGCCACTGAAAGGTAAAAGCAGCCCTAGCCATTATGCAAATCAATATATTTGGCTATATGTCTACAAATCGTTACTTAAGAAGCAGTTGGTGGTTTAGATTTGATTTATATATTATAGTTTACTGCTCCCTTCAGGAGATCCTGTAAGCAAATGGTAATTCTCATGATACAGTCATTAATAATGTTGGCTTTGTTAAGAATTCTGATCATGGCATGTCTTCAACAACAGATCTTATTTTAGCATCTTCCTTAAAATGTAAATACTAGGGCTGGACACACAGCTCAGTGAAGGGCACTTGCCTAGTTTAAGTGTTACACTGAGTTCCATCTCAGGACATAGGCAGCTAGGTCTGAGGTGAGGATAGAGAAGCTAGAGGTAACAGTCCACCCACTTGGAACACGGTCAGCCTATTTGTTTTTTTATTAGGTTCTTATATCCCTGTCTCCCTCTTAACCCTTATTCCACCCTGATCTTTTCCAACCCCCAACACTACTAAATTTAGAATGGAAAGGAGATCTAGACCTCTGTAGGCCTACCTCACTCTCAGCATCTCATTGGCCCTCAGATAGCCAGATATGATCCTGTCTCTTTCTCATTGGCTCACTCCATTGCTTGATCCAGCTTCAGTAGTCTCTGGCCATGAAGGCAGTTTCTAGGTTGTCTCAGGGAGGAAGTATCAGCAATGTGTGTGCCAGCACTGGAGCTGGGTTGTTTGGCTAAGTTCCTCCTACAGAAGCCAAAGCTCTCACTATAGAACACTGAAGTACAATCACAGATATGAAACTGCCCTGGGCAATTTAGTGAGACTTTACCTCAAAGTAAAAATATAGGACTGGGAGCTAGTTCCATGGGTAAAGTA